CTAGTAGTAACAACACCCCCAGCACCAGTACCTCCAGCTCCACCACCGAGGCTGCCCACTAGACAGCCCAAGCGCGAGGATGCTACAGCGAGAGCGACTCCTGCCGACTAGCACCACCAACTCCAGCACCTCCAGTAGTACCTCCAGCACCAACAACTCTAGTACTAGTACCTCTAGCACCAGTACCTCCAGCACCTCCAACTCCAGTACCTCCAGTAGCACCTCCAGTGTCAGTACCTCCAGTAGCAGTGCCTCCAGCACCTCCAACTCCAGTGCCTCCAGTAGCACCTCTAGTGTCAGTACCTTCAGTAGCAGTGCCTCCAGCACCTCCAACTCCAGTACCTCCAGTAGTACCTCCGGTGTCAGTACCTCCAGTACCAGTGCCTCCAGTACCTCCAACTCCAGTACCCCCAGCTCCAGCACCTCCAGCTCCACCACCGGGGCTGCCCCAGTGGACAGCCCACGCACGAAGCTCCTGCGGCGAGAGGGTCTCTTGGCGACTCAGTTGCCACTGACGTTCACTCCTAGAGGCTCCAGGAGGGGTACCCGCAACCCGACCACTAGTAGGACTCTCAGCACCCCCAGAACCAGCACCCCCAGAGTCAGCACCCCCAGTGTCGCCACCTCCTGCAGCACCAGGGTTGCAGAGGCGGTGAAGACGGTCGAGGCAGAAACCCCGGAGGGGTCTCCAAGCGCGATGAGCGGCGAGTGGCCGCCGCGTCGTCAGCAGCTGGGTCACCCCCCTCAACCGGGCCAGAGGTGTCGGAGGAAACCTCAAACGGCTAAACCAAGGGGGGTGGTCAACCTGGGACACACTTGAGGGAGCAAAACCATGAGGAGGGAGGGGTGCTACCGGAAGGGGGGGGAGGGGGGGTCGAGAACCAGGGAGAGAGGCGGGAGGGGTACTGGGGAACTGCGATGGGGGTGAAGACGGTAGAAGCAGACGGACTTGTCAAAAGTGACGTCGTGGGAGGACAGCACACGACAGGAGCCCGGGTGGTAAAACTGCCAGGGCGGTGCGTCTGTGGGAAAGTCAAGGAACACGCACCGAAGAGTGCGCAAAGAGAACTTGCCCGCGGGCGGATCGCGGACAAGAGAGAAGGAACCCCAGACCCGGAACTCCGACACATTGCCAACCTTCCCCGTCCAACGCAGTGTAGGCAAGGTCTCTGGCATGGAGACATGGGGCCAGAGGTTGACCTGGTGTGTGGCGTACCGGACCGCAAACAGCCACAGAAAATGGGGAGCAGCCGCATAGACCATGGAGGTGCGAGTAACCTCCATGACCAAGCCGATGTGGCGCTCTGCACTCCCATTCTGCTGTGGAGAGGCCGGAAGTATGAACAATTGGCGAATGCCCTCAGCACCACAGAAGTTCTCGAGAAGGCGGGAGGAAAACTCACCACCTCGGTCAGAGTGCAGCCGCAGGACCGGGAGGTCCTGCCGGAATCGAGCGCTAAGCTCGATACAGACAGCGCGGATCTAGCGGATCAAGATACTAGGGACCTCTGCCTTGCCCTGCAAGGGAAAGGCCGTAGTGTAGCGTGTGTAGTCGTCAACAACTAGCAGAAAGTAGCGCTCGCCACCCTGTCCAAAGACGCGGGCGGGGCCCCATAGGTCCATGTGGAGGTTCTGCGGAAGAGATGTGGTAGGAGGAAACGAGGAGGAGTGAGGAGCGGCGCGCTGCCGCCCCTCGACGCAGGCAAGGCATGGCGGTGCAAGCGACCTCGGGAGCGGGGGCAGGGACCTAGGGTGACCAGACACAAGGAGATGGAATTGCATGACACGCAGACGTAGCAAGGAGGGGTGACCAAGACGGTGGTGCCAGAGGAGTGTCTGGTGCATGAGGAGACGACACGAACAAGACGCAGTGACCTCAAACGACGAAGCTACCTGACCTGACTCAGCCACCTGTGCAGACTAAGTGGTCAGTGTGTATAGGCCAAACCTGGGCCTTTGAGTGGAGGTGGAGACCTGTGAGAAGGCTAGAAGGGGCCACCAGACATGGGAGAACAGTAGATCCACGCGCCACTACCCGGCAACCGGACGGGTCGGCTAGTGTGACAGGGATAGGGGCTGTGAGCGGTGTAAGTGTGGTGCTGTCGCGAAAGAAACAGCAAGACGCCACTGAGTTTAGAGTGAAAGTGTGCAAGGCGTCCTCAGGCTCTGCACCTGTGCTAGCTGAGTCACAAACACCAAGACTAGTAGCCTCTACCCTAGCAACTCTAGGCATACACGAGTAATAGTCATCCTCAACACTAGCAGATTCAGCATACATCGCATACATGCCAGCATGGATCACTGCCCAGTCACAAGCAAACACATCGATATCCTTCTCAAGCAAGGCTAACCAGTTAGGAGTCGTCATCTTCTCACCATGCTCCGCACGATACAGATCGTCGAGGCAAAAGAAGCAGCAAGAGTTCGTATGGCCGGTGCGAGTGCAAGTCACTCCAGGCTAACCTGTGCGACGGACGTACCTGCAACAAGTTGGGCCACCTGAGCTGCCACGCTGGATCGCCCACTCACGAAGTTGCTGCGGCGAGAGCTGCACCTGTCGCCCCAGCTGCTGCTGGTGCTGCTGATTACCCCCAGAGCCACCTCCACCGCCCGCTGCACCACCAGCCGTAGTTGTATGAGTGGCCGAACCTCCAGCTCCTCCTCCGCCAGCTCCACTCCGAGTGCCACCCCCGCCCCCTCCACCACCCCCACTGCTCCCACCACCCCCTCCTCCTCCTCTGCTGCCTCCACCTCCTCCTCCCCCACCACCACCACCCCCGCCACCACCACTGCCACTCCCTCCACCCCCACCCCCACCACCCCCACCCTTGCCACCCTTGCCCTTGCCGTTGCGACGCCTCCCACTAGGAGCAGACGCAGAACCGACCTCCTCAGCACCAAGGAAGTCCACAGCAGTAGCAGAGGCAACAGACGGCGCGAGCAGGGAGGGGAAGCACCCCTCGAAGACAGAGGGGAGGGGGGTATCACGAGAGGCAGCGACAGCTAGGGCAGCGGACTCAGTCTCTGAAGACGGGACTTGAACGAGGCGATGGTGATCTTCATGGGGTTTAGAGCGAGAAAGTGGTCGCGAACAGCACGAAGGGAATCAGGGAGGTGGGTCGTGATAAATTAAAGGGTGAGATACATGGATGGCTTGTTCTCAGCCAGAAAGGCAGGCTCGAGGGCGGCAGTGTAGTGGGTCTCAAGGGAGCGCAGGTAGGTCAGGAGGTCAGCTACAGTGGTGAAGACTAGCAGCACAGGAAAGACGAACGGCAGTGCCAGACGGCCTACAGTGGCAGAGGACGGGGACGAGTATCGCTTAATTACAGCGTTGTAAAGCGCCTTGGCTCTGGCGAAATTGGGTGCGCTAGTCTAGCAGAAGGTTACTACGGACAGCAAGAGCGGCAGTAGCGCCATGAGAAGTATACTGGGACCTGTCTATTCAGTCATCTGAAGCAGCAAGGGCAGCGAGGGACCCCAAGGTATGCTAACAAGGAGAGACATTCTCCCTAGTAACGCTGTGCAGGTAGAAGTGGAGGTCCTCTAGCCATGACTCAAAATCTATCGGGTGGCCTTCAGCGTCAAAGGTGAGCACAGTAGGATTCGCCATAGTAGCAGTAACGGCAGCAGCAGCAATAGCAGTAGCAGCAGTAAGGGCGGCAGTAGCTGCTGGACCGGTGCAGAACGGCAAGGGTGCGTAGACCTAAGGCAGCACTAGTGCAAGGGGAGCGGCTTGGCTGAGCAGCTCGGCTGGGCGGCTCGGCAGGGCGACTCGGCCGGGCGGCTCGACTGGGCGGCTTGGTTGGGCGGCTCGGCGGCAGACAGCAGCAGCAGGCGCGCTAGCTGGCGGTGTAGGCAGTAGTAGCAGGCGCTCAAGCAGGGCAGTGCAGGGGCGCGAGCTGGCGGTGCTGGCAATGCAGCAGGGGCGCGAGATGGCGGCTTGACAGCGCAAGCACGGCAGGGCAGGGGCGCGAGCGGGCAGCGCAGGGCAATGCGCAGGCGGTTCAGGCAGGGCGCACGCAGGCAGCGCAAGGCAGCGCGAGCAATGCAGCGCGCAGGGCAGCTGACGGCGGGCTGGCAGCGAGCAGACAGCGCAGGCGACGTGCGGGCAACGCAAGCAGCGTGCGAGCGGCGTGCGGGCAGCGTGGGCAGCGTGGGAGCAGCGCATGGGCAGCGCGAGCAGCACGCGGGCGAGCGCACTGGGCAGCGCGACAGCGCGCGGCTTTGGTCAGGGCAGCGCTATAGCGCGCTGGGCAGGGCAGGGCAGCAGCACGATGGCTTGCTGGGCAGGGCAGAAACGACAGGCCGGGCAGGGGAAAAACAACTGCCGGGCAGAGCGGGCTGCGGAACTAATTCGGTGGGCCCTAAAAAAAATTGGTCATAAACCGGGACCTACTCTGAAACCATGTTAGAATCTAGGAATGAGTGATGGCATGAGGTCATGAGGTCATGAGGGGAGTACAAGTATAATGTCGAGAGTAATCTTTTACCCCCTAAGGCTAAACCCACTACAGCCTAATTAAACATAAACACATGTTTTGAGACATAAAACCGGGCTCTTCTAAGGTCGGTCAACAACCGTGTGATGTGATCTATCGTGTGGTTGAACTTCTCTGACGTCCACATGACCGTTTACTCTCGCCTTCCCATCCTAGCATGTGGAAGCTACGCCTTCCTGGTATCAACACGCAAAGCTACCAACCATTACCGCACACTGTATCTGTTAGGCCCATCACACACACAATCTACGGCCAAGGGTGAACATAAAACCCGGCACTTCTCAAGTCAGTCAACAACCATGTGGTATCATCAAGCGTGTGGTTGAACTTGTCTGGCGTCCACGTGAAGGTGTGCATGGAGGGGTGGTGGTAGTGCACCTCCACAAGCAACCTGTTTACTCCCACCTTCCCAGCATGTAGAAGCTACACCTTCCTGGTATCAACACGCAAAACTACCAATCAAACCACAATTGTATCTGTTAGGGTTGTTGCACACACATTCTAAGGCCAAGGGTGAACATAAAACCCGGCTCTTCTCAAGTCAGTCAACAACCGTGTTGTCTCATCTAGAGTGCGGTTGAACTTGTCTGGCGTCCACGTGAAGGCGTGCATGGAGGGGTGGTGGTAGTGCACCTCCACAAAGAGCTCGTCCACGATGGCGGGCATGTGAGGGATGGCCAGCCACCCGTGCAGCACAGCCCACTCCGCCCCCTCTATGTCCATCTTCACTATCACCGTGTCGTCTTCTGTTAGTTGCAGCTCGTCCAACAGCCATCGCGTCACGTTCACCATGCTCTGTGGGGAGAGAACGAGATGAGGACGGGAGGAGAAGGGGGGTTGATTGAGGGGGGGTCACTCAAGCAGCACAGCCCACTCCGCCCCCTCTATGTCCATCTTTACCATCACTGTGTCCTCCTCTGTCAGCTGCAGCTCGTCTAGCAGCCACCGCGTCACGTTCATTGTGTTCTGAAGAGGGGGGGAGAGAAAATGGGGTGAAGTGGGAGGAGGAAGAAGATGGGAAAGGGGACAAGGGATAGGAAAGGAGGAAGAGGGAGAAGCTAATCAGGGAGAGCCATGGACATCATGACTAGGTTTCCTCCGCAGCTCCCTTGGTTGGCCCCAGTTGTGTTTCGGAAGGGTTAAGGAAGGAAGGGAACGAATCAAAAAGAGCCATGGTCGTCATGACTGGGTATCCCAGCAGCTCCTTCAATTGGTCCCGGTTAGTTGCGTTCTGTGCGTTCCGGGAGGAGGCAGAGAGAGAGAGAGAGAGAGAGAGAGAGAGAGAGAGAGAGAGAGAGAGAGAGAGAGAGGGCAGTAAGGAGAGCGTGAGTCACCACTACTGGAGCCTTCCTCCCTCAGTTGCTTTCCTCGTCCCAAAGTCACATTGTGCTTTTTGGAAGGGGACAGAAAGGGAGGAGCGGAGCAGGGGAGGAAAGGCAGGGGTACTTTTGCTGTTATTTATTTCTTCTTGTTCTCCAGGTGTAGCGTACCTCTTCTTGGTTGTCTTGAGAAGAGATGAGGAAGTTGTAGGGGTGAATGCGTAGCATCAGCCACGCAGGGACTTTTGAGTCAGGCTCAAAAGTCACCTTGTCTGTAACAGATGTTAAGCTTCTTCGGTTGTTACCTCTTCTTGGTTGTCTTGAGAAGAGATGAAGAAGTTGTAGGGGTGGACGCGGTCCATCAGCCATGCAGGGAAGCCTGCAGGGCCCCTGCCGAACGGACGCAGGCGAGATTGAGAGTTGATCTCATAGGCCGGTACCTGAAACGGTTAAGAGCGGCACAGAAATGGTAATGAGGTTGGGAAGGGTATGTGTGGAATGGACAAATCATTCAGGTGTTGTGGCTTCAAAGATAGGTGAAGTGATGGACTCTTTTATTATACGGGAGTGAGCTACAATCTCTGTACTCAGGCTACTGTTACTCATTCCTACCAACCCACCCACCACCCTCCCCCCCTCCCCTCCTACCCCTCTCTCCCCTCCCCCTTTTCCTCCCCTCCCCCTTACTCTACCCTTCTCTCTTCCCATCCCACTCACAGCAGTTTTTACGCCCTGCCCAGGTTTCTAGTGTATGCCCCATCCATACCAAGCGTGTATGCCCGGAACCGTAAGTGCATACACTACTAGATAATGCAAGGTAGAGCGTATGAGTGCTAGCGTGGACATGCTAGTGCGAAATATGTGACGGCGTGAATTACCATGCAGTAACTCCCTCAGTCTGCCCTCAGCACCCGCTCCTTCCCAAACCCCTCCAGTGCTGTTCTCATATTTCTTCTCTAAGTGTGTATGTATGCAAACATTTACGCACCTCAAGCGGCGGTGTAGATGGCTTCTGGAACAGGTCGGTTTGCACTTCCACTGCATGAATCTCGGTGAAATCGAGCGGGTACATTCGAAGGAACCAGGTGACACTTGTCTCAAATTCATTCGCTCCGAGGTCTACAAGCACCCTCCGCTTCCTGCGAAATCGCGGAATTTCGGGGAACGAAAGGGGGGAAAAGGGGTTTGATTCATTTGAATGGGGGAGCGTGGAATCCTATGAAATCGACGGGTCTATTTGAGAACCCCAGCAACGCAACTGTCACAAACCTACGGTAACTTTCTAGCTGCCACATCTGATAGCATCCTCCACGTTCTGCTAGCTAGGAAACTTTAGGAACGAAGAAAATAAGAGACAGAATGGCTGTTTATATCACACAACTAGGTTGCGGGAGCAACCTAGCGGAAGTCGTACGAAATCAATTCTCGACGTAGAACCCGATATTTCGTACGTCGATATATCGGATTTCGAACCCGATTCCTGAGAATGCGGAGATTAAAAAACGGAGAGAGGACTGAAAAAGGGAGGAGGGAATATGGGGACGAAGAAAGTCCTTCTACCAACATCGTTATCTAGTCCTAGTCGTAACAGAATTACAACGCATTACTCACCTCCTGTGCAAGCTGGGATCCATGTTAGCTCGTAGGAACGGTAAGATCTGCGTCTTGTCCTCCACGTCGTCCACGAAGCCCAGGGTCCATCCGCGGCGGAAGTTCAGGTGCGCGTCTAGCTCCTCTATAGGCAGCCCCGCTACAAGGCAGGGGGAAACGCGGGGTGTCCACTGCGCATTGCGGGTGTAGGCAAAGCGCAGGGGAAGGGACGAGGAGGATGGCATGGTTGTATGCTGAATGCTTCATGTGCGTTGGAGTTGCATAGGTGTCCAGTTGAAGTATGTTTGTACTGGGTCCTATAGCATAATATCGTGATAGGTCGAGAGAGGGTCCATCCGAGAGGTACCATTTGAGAAAGGATCAGGTCTTGGCACGAAACGGCGTGCGGGAAGGGGTGGGAAACGCGAGGAGAAATGCGGGGGGGAGGGAGAAGGGGGGAGAGGGGAAAGTGGGGGGGGGGGGGGGGGGGGGGGGGGGTGGGGGGGGAACGGAACGGAAAGTGGTTGGGTGCGTATGGAAGATCCTAGTTCGCGAATCGTCGGAACGGTTTTCAAGATCCCGAAATTACTGTCCTAGGAAGGACGACAGCAGCGATGATTTCGCGCAATACCTTTCCGTAATCCGATGATTTTCGCGAGATTTTTTTACTCCGCGACCCGCGCAATCTGCCAGGAACTGTTTCGAGGTGATTAGTACCTTAGTAAACGCCCACACATCCTCAACACTGTCTCGCGGCGACAAGCTGCTATCTCCGCCATTTTGCACTACCGGAGTGACTCTGCTGGTTGATGTCCAATCAGAGCACGACTGAGCTGCGGCGCCACCTCCGCCTCCGCCTGTGATGAGACTTAGCGCTAAGTCGCAGTCGCACGGCGCGCATCGTTGGGGAAGCTGAACGGCAACGAGCGTGATCGAGCAGAGGAGGAGCATCGTCGAAACTACCGCCCAAGCGAGTGCCACGGGATACGGTATTAGAGACTCGACGTTCTTAATCTGCGATTTCATTGGCGAGTAGTCGTACATCATGCTGAGTGACACAGTCATTGCATGCTAGACTTGTTTCTTCGACTACCAACTTTTGACTGAAGAACTGCATGACGCGATAACTCCAAAGTTTCCTCCTTTGTGGCCGCGTCAGGTTCTGGAAGGGTGTGAAAACGATGCTCGCAAGGGGTGTTGTCAAACGAGCTCGTGTTGTGTTGTGTCATTCGAAAGCATCATCAGTCTCTTGAGACGAGACGAGACGATCTGTGGTTCGAAGCGAGCATGCGACAGCCTCGCGACCAGGATTCTCTTCTCGCCAAAGCATCAGTCAGTTCGCTGGCTGGCATTCCTGGGATAAATTTCGTCCACAGGATTTTGGTTGCCTGGATATATCAGTACTTATCACCGTTGGGGGGTGAGGTCTATTGTACTTTCTTTGCGGTCTGAAAAGTTGCGTCGCGGTTTAAAACGGTGGACTTAAAGCAGTGCTTCTCACCGTGCGGAACCGACCAGAGCCACGAAGAAACGAACTGTTGGGCAGTACAAGCTTGAGGAAAGCGGGTGGGGTGGAGTGGAGGTGGAGTGGAGTGGAGGACAGCTCATGAACGGCAATTTGTTGGACTTTTTGTGGATGAGGAAAAGGGTGCATCAATCGAATCCTCTCCATCACGTGGTTTGGACAGTTTCTTGGCTAGCGTTGGAACAGGATAAGGACAGGCCCATTGTCTTATCACAAAAGAGGCAGCATGTCCAATTCGCTAAATCCAAAGCAAAAACGAATTGTGATAAACCAGCAGACTGACTGCAGTCAACCTAAAGTACACAAATTACATCATTAATAACCAAGTATTCCAATCCCATCCCCTACAGATTGTCTGACAGTGTGGACGATTTGGTGACAATATTTTTACCATGTGTCACACATGCGCTGTTCCCGTTTGCGACACAGGCCGTTTTATGCCAGACACTGCCATTAGAGTAAATCGTGGCACCCAGATTTGGATGAAACACGGGATTGAAATGCATGCTCAGGATTCTGAAACCCATGGAAACCTGAGCATCATCACTAATACCTCTGTTGAGAAATAGTCCAAGAGGTGTCAAACCACACTCGCCCACCAATCACACCGCAAATATTCATCCCGTCATGCCACTGCTTCAATTGCCCTCTCTTCCGCAGCATCCATGCCAGCTATCTCAAGAATCCGAAGCCGGGTCAGTTCCTGGCAATGTGAAGCCACCGCACAGATAATCAAAGTTGGTGTGAGAGAGGTGAAAGGCAGAAATAAAACAATCTGGGGTGAAGCAAGGACGGCTGGCAGATAGATTGGACACTGGCATCGCTGTAGTTGCTACGGCGTGGAACAGTGATGATGTGGCTGGCACCGCCAGGTATTGGAACATGCAGATGCCTGGGAGGGAGCAGAGGGTGATAGTGATGAAATTGTGCTAAAAACAACATTTGCACTTCGGCTACATTGCCAGCACTTCAGCGCTTCAGCACTTCAGCACTTGCATCGCAGCACTTGCATCACCCCACCAGCACACTTCCTGCTCCACCACAGTCACGAACAACTTGCGTCTCTCTGTCAACCACAGTCACAAACAACTTGCGTCTCTCTGTCAACCACAGTCATGAACAACTTGCGTTTCTCTGTCAACCACAGTCACAAACAACATGCACCTCTAACAACCACCTGATTGTAGCCATCCCAGCCAATCACTCGACACACTCACTTGTCGGTGACCGTTGGTGCATCCCTAATGACTCCTCGTCTCTCTAACACTAACACTACCATTTTAAATCATCCCAGTCAACCAGCCACCACTCAACACACTCACCTGTCGGTGACCGTTGGTGCGGCGGTAGTTCTTTCTCCTCTTCTTCTTGAACACTATCACCTTGGCATCAAGGGCCTGGCGACACGCATCAGGTTTTGAAACAGCGGGGAGGAATGATATTGAGAGTTGCATAAGACATACAATCGTTCTTTCTCCTCCTCTTCTTCTTGAAAACTATCACCTTGGCGTCAAGGGCCTGGAAGCATAGGGTTTTAGAACAGAAGAAAGGAACAATGTTTTCAGACGCGCACGTTCTTCGCCGTCGTTTTCTCGCACACGCTTCATTTGGCATCGGGCCAAAGAGAAACCGGTGAAGAATTGGATCGGCTACCCAATATGAGACATCCTATACAAATGCAGTGAACCTCAAATCATGCAATGGGTTCACAATGTCGATGCACTCAGAAACTACCCAGACCAAGAAAAACATCAAACTGGTCCTACAACGTGCGAGGCAATAAGGCCTAGAATACCAATGAGAAAGCCAATCAGGTTTAAAGTGTCAATAAGAATAGCAATTAAGGCAGGGGAGTGAAACTCACATGCTCCTCCACCAGGGCTGAAACAAAGGCGCCTGGGAGAGTGGGCCGACCGATGAGAGATTCGGAAGGCGAGCCAATCAGAAGTACCTTCTCCAAATGAATCTGACGGATGGGATGCTCGAAGATGGACCGAGACGAGGCGATACGTTGACACGGAGCGACACATGAGTGAAGAAATTCAAACATTGTGAACTTCGCAATTACTGAGTTCCTAACTGGAGTAACAGTGCACACTAGAACATACTATGTTCCTCGTGTCTCCCACATTATCTCCATGTGTAAAAATATTATTTTTGAGACGTCTCCAAAATAATATATTAGCACACTACTCTGAACTTATGAGAACTAAATCTTTCACACACGCACTGCCTCATCATGCACTGTAGCATCGTGCAATGCAGCACCCTCCACTGCAGCACCCTCCACTGCAGCGATGGTAAATGCCTTCTGAGATCCCAAGCATAAACTTGCAATCCCATCAGTAGACCACATTCAATGCAGTCCACCGCACTGCACCACATTGTGCAGCACCGCACTGAACCCATGTCCACCAAACCATCAACAGGGATGAAGCTGTTTATTTTCACAAAACCGGAGGGCCAAGAAGGCCCAAATTGGTTCAACCTTCCTAACCTCGGTTGGGTTTGGTTGGCCTCGCACCCAAAGTCTTGACCAATTGAATTGCTCGCCCCAACCAAGCTTCCTAAAGTTGAACTTCTTGGCCCGCGGGTTTTACAAGCCTCTACCACACAACACACTGTGCAGCGCACTGAACCTGACCATACCACACCACATCCCCTCTCACTGCAACACACTCAATGCCATGTGCAAACCCATATGCAGCAGACTGTAAACACAGGCACCGCACTGAACCTGCAAGCACCGAATTCAACCCAGTCTCACCACGTCGTTGACATGGGCGAAGTTGAGCTTCTCCACGTAGATGGCGTCTCCTGGCGTTACCTTGAACTGGTGCGACCCCACCTGATTGGACAACAATATGACACGTCAGCACACATGTGGTTTAAGAAAAGCGATGCTGCGCCTACAAGATGGGCGGGGGAAGGAGGGAGGGGGGAGGGGGGGAAGGGGGGAGGGAGGACGAGGTAGAGGAGGGGACACGAGAGGGAGCGGATGGCAGAGTGCTTATTGGTGGATAAAGGCAATGTGGTTCGTTGCTATGATTGGCTGAGGGAGAGAGGAAAGGGGTGGGAGGGGAGGAAGAGGTGGGAGGGGAGGAAGAGAGGGGAGGGAAGGGGAGGGAGGGAAAAGCAGAAGGGGGGATGGGGGGAAGGGGGAAAAGGGGGTGGGGGCGAGAAGGGAAAGATTGGGGAGGAAGGCGAAGTTTGAATGATGGGTTTCACTGCAACAATTCCACTCCTCCCCTGCACGATTGCTCGGAAAACGGGGGAAGTTGCAACCACTCCTTAAAAGCGATCTGTGGCACATCTATCGACTCATCCCATATCATCCCACACAAATCATCACCGTCTGACACCCATCATCACCGTCTGACACCCATCATCACCGTCTGACACCCATCATCACCGTCTGACACCCATCATTGCCGTCTGACCGACTGACACCCATCATCACCGTCTCACACCCACTCACCTGAACCACTGCGAACGCGTCTAGCTCCTTGATCTCCACCCCCGCCGCTTCGCTGACGTCACTCCCCCCGTCCTGCGCTGCTCCCCCCGCCGCTCCCCCTCTGAAGCGCGCCGATGCGGGCTCCGCCACGCGGTAGCCGATCTCCGCCGCGTTTTCCTTCCGCCATTGCCCCAGGAACGACAGCGCAAACCCTTCCCGCGGGGCACTGGGGGAACTCGCTTCCGCGACAGTAACATCCGCGGTATTAGCAACTGCACTAACGTTGAGTTGGCCTGATGTGTGAGCTCGGGCGGCGGAGAACACCTGTGCGTGCAGCGAGCGAGGCCATAACGAGGATCCTACATGAACAGACGGACTCGGCGCTGTGACAAGCGACGACCGCTTGACTGGAGATAGTGCGTGTGCCGGTGCGTGCGACGGTGAGTGAGACAGTGCTAGCGAACTTCTCTCCAACGGCAACGTCGCAGTGGCACCAACAGACTCTAGGCCTGGACGAGATTGCGACGCACTGTACAGCTGTGAAGGACATTGGTGCAGATTCGACGCGGCGAAAACGTGGCGAGATCGCGACGCGGAGAACCTCTGAAACGATTCAACGAATAGCTGCGGATCTGCAAAGTCTCGGCATCGGCGCGTGTGGCTGCTGCAGGCGTGGCCCGCCGCGATTACCGCTCGCCGCATGGCGGAATGGAACAGGGAGGTACAGGGGAGGAATTCGGGGAAGCGCGTTCGTACTAACTGATAGCACGAGGGCTGCAGGGAAAATAGGTTTGGGTGTGGTCGTACGCGGTAAAGTCCGTCGCATGGAAGTTTCATGAGCGTAATGCAAACATGCAAAAACTGGAAAGTGGACCTCCTAAAACAAACTCAGACCTGGAAATCGAACCGCGTCCAAAACTGTGGGCAGTAGATCCTCGAGGATCGAACGTCCAACGACAACCACGAAATAACGTTCTCCAAAGGAGATGCGACGTGTCAAACTGAACGTGTCATAAGCAAGATCCTCGCTGTTGGTTGACTCGCTTGTAGTTTTCAACCGTCGATCAAGCGCTAGCCCATTCCAGGAGATATTCTAGCACAATTTCTTGCGCGCAGATTTGGCAAACAGGGTACAAGGCTCAATTTCGGTGGAATGAGATGTTGTGCATGTGAGAGCGGCTTATTTACAGTTCTTTGCATTTAAGTAGGGTGGAAAAAAATAGAACTCTATATGACAATGCCCTTTCCACCTTGCCCCCAATCGCTGGCAAAGGGTATAGACAGCAACTTACGACGAACGCCATTTGACCATGCCATTCACAACACCCCCTCCTTTTTTTAGATCCACTATACACGCGCCGGTTTGTCACAGATTGAGCCCTCTGGCGATGCAAGTTTAGGTAGTCTTGTTGATTCCGGCAGCCTTTTCTGCATTGTCAGCTTGCACCAGTGCAACCTTGAGCTTATCCGTGAGCTGAATCACCTTCTTGTCTGCGATAGCCTGGCTCTGCTTCGCCTTCGTTAATCGCACCCTCGTGTCAGTAATCGCATTTGCCTTACTCGCGAGGTAATCGTTAAGGGCCTTCTGCGCGTCAGCGACTACCGCAACCGCGTTTTCGTACACCAGGCGCGTAGCATTCACCGCGCCTCTTGCATCGTCCACTGCCTTTGGAAAATGATCTCTTCCTGCGGACCCTGCGAAACTAGAGCAAACAATTCCTTCTGAACGCGATCCAGCCGTGCCTGCGCGCGCTGATCTTGCGCCACAATATCCGGGAGCACCTCCTCCACAGATTGGCGGTAATATTGCGCTTCCACGAGCGCAGCCTGCGCCATCAGCGAAGTCGGGTTGGCCCTAACGGCCCTTTCCGCGTCACGTTCCGCGTCCGCGGCCTCTTGCACGACGAGCCCCCATTCCTCTAGCAGCATTGAAGTCATGCGCGCGCTTCGCGTCGCGTCGTTGACCGCCTTCCTTGCCTCTGGGATTTGCGGGTGCGTTGACGGATCTGCCTGAAACGCCGCGAGATCCGCGATCCGGAGAACGAGGATATTGTTTGCGATGTCGAGATCGTACTGCGCATCGGCGACGCTGTTATTCATATCGGAGATTATTGAAATGCGGTCGTTGAGAGCTAGGTCCGGGCCCTGCAGATCGGACAGAGTTTGCGTGGCGGCGGCGACCTCAGCCGCCTGTTTGGCGGCGTCCTCTTGCGCCGCTTTCAGGTCCACCGCAGCTTGATTCGCCGAGGCGTGAAGAGCCTTGGCTTTCGCTACGAGGAAAGCGTTTTGTGCGCAGACAGATGCCCCAGGGGGAGCGAGAAGCGCGGCGAAGCACACTAGGAGAGCGGCAGAGAGAGCAGCATGCGTAATCGATGTCATGGCGGCGTTATAGATAATGCAACAGGTCCTGTTAGAGATACCGTAACCAGTAAATCGCAGCAGCTTGCTTGTTAGAGATGCAAATTCGGCGTCGCGGGCACTTAGGATAGTGTATGAGATGCTGTATACCGCTGGCAGCGGAAGAAAGAAAAGCACGCGGCCCTCCAACTAATCTCCAATGGAGAAGAAAATGCACTCGAGAGAGGTTTGTTAGGAGGTGAGTTCAGCTGGCGAAAGAACGAGTGATAAATGATAGTACAAATGAACGAGTTTATGGTCGCGATGACTCCAGAGACGAGTAGTAGGTAGGGTGGAGATTGAGCGGAACCAGCAAAGCCTACACCATTCGCCGCTGCGCATGATTTGTCGATATGTTCGCCGCATGCTGCGCTGTGCTCTCCAGACTGGAGTGACGAATATGAATGTAACTGGCTTATCAACGAATAACTTCATTGCGATCGGACCTCTTGAGCGTCTTCCACCAAGAAAACAGACATATATGACATTCGGTCATTTTTTAGGGACTACTACAAGATTTGACCAACAATCTCCGAATTTGGACTAAGTCAAGGCGGCAAAGAGCTGGGAGACAGGCAGTGACAGCTTTGTTGCAGCTGCTACTTTGACGAGAGATGATCAAGAAGTTGACGATTCTTTTCCTGCGGTGGCAGGAAGTCATGCACACAAGCCAGTCAGGCCTCATCTTTCGCGAATTTCAGTGCCATTGCCCTCCCCTCAAGCATCTCCCACATCGTTCCACGAGAAGTGCAGTGTTGCCCGGTGTTACGGGTGCAATCAATCGAAGTAGCGAGAATTGCACTAAGGTGTCAAACGAGTACAAGATGTGAGCTAAGGCATGAGCGAACATTTATACGCGAAACATGCAAACGGTAACGCGGTGCGTGCGAGCTAGCTAGTGCTACGCTGGCAGCGAGGTTCGGGATAGTCCCGAAGCGTAGGCCGACACGGCTGGGCCAGCAGTGCGAGGTTTGGTGAAAACAGTGCGCACGAAGTCGGCGAAGCCCCGTTAGCAGTAACGGGTGAACAACGGCTGCTGCTGTACGCGATGTTGCAGGGCGCGCTAAGGAATATAGAGAAAATTCCTTACACTACCCCCCCCCCCCCCCTCAAGAAGCCCCCTCCGCTACGCGAGTGCGTGTATATCGCGGAAACCCCGGCTCCTCGGGTACATTTGCAGGGCGGGGTGGTTCTCGATGTTGGCCAGGGGCACCCAACTATCCCCAGTTGGCGTGCGGTCCTTCCAGCGAACGAGGAATTCAATCCTCTTGATTCTCGTGGGGTGTCGAATCCGATGGCTCAGGATTTTTTCGGGCTAAATGATCGGCTCTGATGCAGGGCGAGTCATGGGTGGCGGGCGGTGACGAGGCAGTTGGCTTGTGGTTGGGATGTATAGGTGAAGCATGCTGACGTGGAACGAAGGGCTGATGTACCAGTCCGTCGGCAACAGTAGGTGGGCTATCATTGGGGTAATCATGTGGCTGATTTGGAAGGGTCCACAGTAGCGCGGTCGTAATTTCGGTACGACGGACAATTGTGTGTCGAGCAGTACGTAGTCTCCTGACTGGTACGTGACTGGGCAACGGTGGCGGTCAGCGTTGCGCTTAGCGATGACATTGGACTTTTTAATTGCCTCTGCGGCTCTGGTACGGGCAGCTTGCAGAATTTCGGCGAATTGCTGTGCACGTGGTGTTGGGTTGTCCGGACTCGGCGTCATGGGCACTATAGGGTTTTGCCCGTAGTTCAGATAGAAGGGGGACTGCTGCGTCGTCGGTGGCCGACGTGGGGTCGGGATGGCAAATGCATCCGGGTCTCCCTCAGGCAAAGTAGCGTGGACGTGAGATGAGGTGCAGCGGCCGCTAGGTACTCCAGCTCAAATTGCTTGTCCTCAAGTACGTCACAACCAAGAGCAAGCTCACCCCCGAAGGACGGGAGACAGGCAGAGTAAAAAACAAAGACTCGCAGCGTAGTCAAGGCGGCACAGAGCAGCAAAGTCAACAAGCTCAGCAACTAAGGCAGACACAGCAACACACTCAAAGGAAGGGTCAGTCACAACCGTAGCAAGAAGATGAGTAACAGTCGAACTGACAGCACGAGCACGGTCAGACTCAGGGTTAGGAACGTGAGGATCAGAGGACACAGGAGGCGATGGCAGGACAACACGCTGTGGAACAGAGGAAGGAAGAAGTGCCATGATGTGCGTGCCTGGGACATGTGGAGGACTAGGACGGGCAACACGACGAGTACGGACAGGCGTGATAGGACACGACTCAGGCTCTATACTCTAAGTGAGGGATTCTGTCAACGCAGTGTAAGGAGCAGGGGCAGGGAGTGGGGAGTGAGGCAGTAACTGTGGCTCAGACTAGTCAAGCGTTGGAAACAGTAACGGAGGAGTTGTGCTAGCAATAGAGGACTTAGAAACAGCGGGAGGGAGACTGAGAAGGTGACGAAGCGCAGACGGCTGCTGCTGAGTAGTCGCACCCCCAGAACCTTTACTCTAGTAGTAACAACACCCCCAGCACCAGTACCTCCAGCTCCACCACCGAGGCTGCCCACTAGACAGCCCAAGCGCGAGGATGCTACAGCGAGAGCGACTCCTGCCGACTAGCACCACCAACTCCAGCACCTCCAGTAGTACCTCCAGCACCAACAACTCTAGTGCTAGTACCTCTAGCACCAGTACCTCCAGCACCTCCAACTCCGGTACCTCCAGTAGCACCTCCAGTGTCAGTACCTCCAGTAGTAGTGCCTCCAGCACCTCCAACTCCAGTGCCTCCAGTAGCACCTCTAGTGTCAGTACCTTCAGTAGCAGTGCCTCCAGCACCTCCAACTCCAGTACCTCCAGTAGTACCTCCGGTGTCAGTACCTCCAGTACCAGTGCCTCCAGTACCTCCAACTCCAGTACCCCCAGCTCCAGCACCTCCAGCTCCACCACCGGGGCTGCCCCAGTGGACAGCCCACGCACGAAGCTCCTGCGGCGAGAGGGTCTCTTGGCGACTCAGTTGCCACTGACGTTCACTCCTAGAGGCTCCAGGAGGGGTACCCGCAACCCGACCACTAGTAGGACTCTCAGCACCCCCAGAACCAGCACCCCCAGAGTCAGCACCCCCAGTGTCGCCACCTCCTGCAGCACCAGGGTTGCAGAGGCGGTGAAGACGGTCGAGGCAGAAACCCCGGAGGGGTCTCCAAGCGCGATGAGCGGCGAGTGGCCGCCGCGTCGTCAGCAGCTGGGTCACCCCCCTCAGCCGGGCCAGAGGTGTCGGAGGAAACCTCAAACGGCTAAACCAAGGGGGGTGGTCAACCTGGGACACACTTGAGGGAGCAAAACCATGAGGAGGGAGGGGTGCTACCGGAAGGGGGGGGAGGGGGGGTCGAGAACCAGGGAGAGAGGCGGGAGGGGTACTGGGGAACTGCGATGGGGGTGAAGACGGTAGAAGCAGACGGACTTGTCAAAAGTGACGTCGTGGGAGGACAGCACACGACAGGAGCCCGGGTGGTAAAACTGCCAGGGCGGTGCGTCTGTGGGAAAGTCAAGGAACACGCACCGAAGAGTGCGCAAAGAGAACTTGCCCGCGGGCGGATCGCGGACAAGAGAGAAGGAACCCCAGACCCGGAACTCCGACACATTGCCAACCTTCCCCGTCCAACGCAGTGTAGGCAAGGTCTCTGGCATGGAGACATGGGGCCAGAGGTTGACCTGGTGTGTGGCGTACCGGACCGCAAACAGCCACAGAAAATGGGGAGCAGCCGCATAGACCATGGAGGTGCGAGTAACCTCCATGACCAAGCCGATGTGGCGCTCTGCACTCCCATTCTGCTGTGGAGAGGCCGGAAGTATGAACAATTGGCGGATGCCCTCAGCACCACAGAAGTTCTCGAGAAGGCGGGAGGAAAACTCACCACCTCGGTCAGAGTGCAGCCGCAGGACCGGGAGGTCCTGCCGGAATCGAGCGCTAAGCTCGATACAGACAGCGCAGATCTAGCGGATCAAGATACTAGGGACCTCTGCCTTGCCCTGCAAGGGAAAGGCCGTAGTGTAGCGTGTGTAGTCGTCAACAACTAGCAGAAAGTAGCGCTCGCCACCCTGTCCAAAGACGCGGGCGGGGCCCCATAGGTCCATGTGGAGGTTCTGCGGAAGAGATGTGGTAGGAGGAAACGAGGAGGAGTGAGGAGCGGCGCGCTGTCGCCCCTTGACGCAGGCAAGGCATGGCGGTGCAAGCGACCTCGGGAGCGGGGGCAGGGACCTAGGGTGACCAGACACAAGGAGATGGAATTGCATGACACGCAGACGTAGCAAGGAGGGGTGACCAAGACGGTGGTGCCAGAGGAGTGTCTGGTGCATGAGGAGACGACACGAACAAGACGCAGTGACCTCAAACGACGAAGCTACCTGACCTGACTCAGCCACCTGTGCAGACTAAGTGGTCAGTGTGTATAGGCCAAACCCGGGCCTCTGAGTGGAGGTGGAGACCTGTGAGAAGGCTAGAAGGGGCCACCAGACATGGGAGAACAGTAGATCCACGCGCCACTACCCGGCGACCGGAGGGGTCGGCTAGTGTGACAGGGATAGGGGCTGTGAGCGGTGTAAGTGTGGTGCTGTCGCGAAAGAAACAGCAAGACGCCACTGAGTTTAGAGTGAAAGTGTGCAAGGCGTCCTCAGGCTCTGCACCTGTGCTAGCTGAGTCACAAACACCAAGACTAGTAGCCTCTACCCTAGCAACTCTAGGCATACACGAGTAATAGTCATCCTCAACACTAGCAGAAGCAGCATACATCGCATACATGCCAGCATGGATCACTGCCCAGTCACAAGCAAACACATCGATATCCTTCTCAAGCAAGGCTAACCAGTTAGGAGTCGTCATCTTCTCACCATGCTCCGCACGATACAGATCGTCGAGGCAAAAGAAGCAGCAAGAGTTCGTATGGCCGGTGCGAGTGCAAGTCACTCCAGGCTAACCTGTGCGACGGACGTACCCGCA